AGTCCAAATAGTAACTATAATATTCCAAAAAAATTCTGGGGCCATGGTCCGTTTCTATTTCCTAACTTCTCCTCTCCAGCCCCACCACCCTTAATCCTGGATCATATTAGTCATAAACTCAGCATGGTTACCATGCGAAACCTTCCTTTGTAGGAATATAATAATAATAATAATAATAATAATAATAATAATAATAAATTTGATAATTTATATTTTATATAATATAAAATATTAATAATTTATGTATTTATATTATATTTTATATAAAAAATTATATAGTATAATTTTTATCGATATTAAAAATATAAAATATTAATTTTTATTAAAATTTTAAATTATATTTTTTAATATTTATTTATTATTTTCGTATTAAATTTTCGTTAATATTTGAAATTAACTGCTATATCTTGATATATAATACTTGGACGAAGGAGCCAGGCTGGACGGCTAATAACCACAAGTTGGAGGGGTGAAGGAGTTTTGAGTTTTTTGGGAAGCGAGAGAGAGGAGCTTTGCCATTTTGGGGGAGAAATTAGTTAGGCCCCATTTTATAAAGTCAATAGAAATTCTAAATTGGAATAATTAGTTAATCATAACAACTGATTCCATGATTTGCTCGATTTCAAAATATAAAAAAAAAAAAAAAAAATCTCCAACGTGACTCTAATCTGATGAGGTGACGGCAACATCCCATGGAAACCACTGAAAACCTCATATTAATTTGTACCCCATTAAATAATATATAAGAATTAAGAATAATGACATGTGTTATATGAACAATCAATTTGGGAAATTGGCTCTTACTCGATTTTACATATGCTATATGATATAAATCCAAGTGGTACCCAACCACAAGACGGACATATTGTTTATTATTAACAGATTCAATGTTAAGTTTGGAGACCCAACCACAAGACAGACATATTGTTTATTATTAACAGATTCAATATTAAGTTTGGAGAAATTACCGCATTAATTGATAATTAAGTTTTAAAATATTATTATAAGAATTAGTAGATGATTTTTTTAAATATATAATTGAAATAATTAAAATAAAATATATGATAACATTTTAATTTTGAGTAAAAATTTTTCATCATCTATGCATAAAAAATGAACTTTTAATTTATTATTTTTTGCTTTTTCTCAATTCAATTAATAATATTGTATAGAAGTAGTAAAATTGCTACCACATCAGTATTAGAAAGGGAAGGGATCTATCTTAATGGGTTATTGTGGCATATATCAACCCAAAATATAGCATATTGAATGTCTCAAAAATTAGTTCTTATAGTATAAATTAAAGAGAATATATATAACTTTTATTATTATAGATTGGATAGAGATAATGAATTAATTAATACAAGTTGAGAGTTATATGAGTTATATAATTCAATCATTTATGAATGAAATTTTATGTTTTGTGGAATGATGAAGAAAACCAATCGAATGTATATAATAAGACGGATAATTGCAAATGTGATATGATCTAATTTTATAGCCATAAAAATTTAGGGTATTACAAGTAGTTTAGCCTAATTATTTGGATGAACCAAAAAAAAAATCAAATTCATTAAATTAATTATTAATTATTATATTAAATATAAAAATATTATTAAAAATAATAATTTAATTAAGGACTTGTTTGATCACACATTGAAAATTTTCAACATATTGAAAATGAAAAATTCTCAATAATTTAATTTTTTTTTAATACGTTTGATAATGTATTTTAAAATCTACCTAATTGAACTTTTTCTATTAAAAAGTGTTTAACAAAATAAGTAGATAAAGACTTACTTAATGCAGAAAACATTCAATTAAATTTCTTTTATTTTTTGAACTATTATCCTGTAAAAAAAAAAGTATTTCATTATCTTAAAATGATAAATATTCAAAATTCAAAATTATATAATTATAAAAAAAATACATTTATATTCAGCATTTAATTTCAATAAAATATCAAACAATTTTTATAATTTAAATTCAACACTTATCAAATTCAATATTAAAATTTCATCACTTAATATTGTTTAGTACTTAATTTTTCAGTTGATCAAACATAACCTAATTTTGAAAGAATATTTTAAGACACACATTAATAAAATCTTTTTTACCATAGAAAAAGCTTAGTATTTAAATCTTATAATTTACAATACTAAAAGATGATATAATATAAAAATGATATAAAAAAATATAAAAATAATACCGATTAAAATTTTAACAAAAATTATAAAATTAATTTAATAAAAATAAAAATATATTACATATATTTTACATTAATATGAATGATAATATATAATTTTTATATAAAATATAATACAAATATACAAACAAGCAAAACTGTTAGTAGTCACCGGCTCAAGGAGTTTTAGACAATCAGGCAGTGTATATTGTTGGGAAACTGAAAGGTGGAGCCTGGATTAATGGAAGGAGGGATATCCCTCTGAACCCTATCTGCGCAATTTGAGTAGGTGATCTTCATCAATTGGCTATATATATTATATGCAGTCCTGCCCCATTATCCTTCACTATTGGAGCAGCCTTCTCTTTTTTTTTTTTTTTGAACAAATTATGACTTTAAAATGATTGGATGGTAGGCCTCGTTAGTACAATTTTTATATGGAGTAAGTTTATAAATATCTGAACCTTATAAATATAATATTGCTACTGTTCCAGTACGTACCGCCCATACTTATAATTCAGAAGGCTCTACTGTCCTTTCTTAAGTTACAATTTGTCGATGAGTTTTATCTATTGGTGAGATAAAATTTGCAAGTGATTTGGTTGGAGGATAAGTTCTATATGTAAAAGGAGAAGGAAAGGTCAAATTGGGATTTCAAGATACGCTTTGATACTAAATAAGTGCTTGAATTAGGAAGAAAGTAAAAAAAAAAAAAGAAAAAAGCTACGAAAATAGCTTAGTATGCATGAAAAAAGAGAGATCTTACTTTTAAGCTGTTTATTTGGAGGTTTTTATGTCATAAACGCAGATCAAATATCACGCATATTTACTTGATCAGAACAAGTGGCGCACACAAACAAGACAAGTGACATACAAATAACATCTCTAATAAAACAACTGATATGCAAAATGACATCCTAAGAGACTGCTTGAATTATTCTCTCTGTATGAGCCTTATAGGCTTAGTCGTGTCCTGCACCTCCTTTTATGAAGCCTAACAACAGTCATAATTCTTGAAAACAATTTTTAGAAAAGCATCCACCTGCTTTAATTGATATCTTTACCCTTATAATTTCCATGGCCTGGTTAAAACAGAGCCTTTTTTTTTTTTAATTTTATAGTAGATAAATTAAGAGCAGATAAAAAAGATAATATCTTTTTTGGTTATATTATTATGTGTTGAGGAAGCAAAGAAACGAAAGGGAAGCGTGGGTGCTGGACCACTGATGCCCTGTAACCAGGTTGGCCTAATTCAGGGGTCCAAAATTAAAGCCACACAATCCCAAATATATGACCTCAATTTTTGACACATATAAATTACAACAGTGTTAGATGGGATTTAAGTTTAAATTATTACTTTTGAAGAGAAATAGCATATTAGAAAAGCGTGGCAAATGCATTCCCGTGAAAAGAAAAAAAAAAAAAGGAAAAAAGAAATCAATTTTCCTTCTTTTTTCCCTTTACATTTATAATTAATTTGCCTTTGACAGACTGAAGATTGAGAGAAGACTACAAATTTTCCTTTCCATCTGGTTGGCCATCACCGCAGAGTAGCCCGTACGGATCGAATTGGAAGAACGTTTCAAGTCAAACCCTAACCCCCAGTCCCAATTAGATATTAATATTTACATCACTTTTTGTTTTTTTATTTTCTTCCCTTGAAAAAGAAAAGTTAGTTAGGTCATAGCTGCCCATATTATTTTTTTTTTGTGCGTAATTTAAGAGTTCGGTCTTTAAATTTGATAATGAAAATTTTTAATATCATAAGTGAAATTTAAAAATTATATTTTTTTAATTATTTAATTTTATTTCTTAATATATTCTAATAAAAATATGTATTATTTTATTAATTTTGTTTGTAAATTTAAAAAATTTTATTAATGATGAATGGGATAATATTTTTAATTTAATCTAAAAATAAATTTACTATTACTAAAAATAGCATTTAGTGCTATTAATTAAGGTTTTTGCAGCAAAAGTCCAAAAAGGCATAATGAGACAACGCACATCAATTTACAAAATCAAGACAGCAATGGAACTACAATATTAATTGGTGTATTTATTTTTTTCTAAAAATGGAGATGGAATAAAATTAATAATGTTGGAAGAGAAAGCTCGTGCTCTCCAAAACAGCTGGCTTTATATATTTTATATATAACCTACAAAAATAATATGCATACCACCCAGGATGATGACAGTGACTTGCTCACATGTGCGCAGCAGATAATACATGGTTGCCTACGTATAAACCTAACTTAAAATTCTCTCTCTCATCTCTCAACAAAGAAAAATATAGAAAAAAATGTTAGGCATTAGAAAAATTACCTAGCTGGCGAACGTTCGAGGGAGGCTCTACCCTGATAATAAAACAGTCTTTTTCTTTCACTCTTTTTTTTTTTTTAAATTTTTTTCTTTCACTCTCTCCTTTCAAGGTCAACAACTAGATGAACTTGCAATATGAATATTTCGTTTGAGACGTCCATGGTGGTTTATTGTCGTCCAAGTCTAGTTTTCGTATTTGGTCAAAGAATAAAGCACCGACTTTCTCATTGTACTGAGAGGAAGGTGAGAGATAATAGCTTATGCTAACAACCCCCCCCCCCCCCAAAAAAAAAAAAATTACTGTTTCTCCTGCCCGGGACTCTCCCTTAACTCCTGAATCAACCCCAGCAAAGTCATGAAAAGTGGTAGTAAAAGTAGTAACAAGTAACAACATGACACAGTTTCTGGTGTTCTTTGTTTGTCTGTTTCTTTGTTTTTTTTAATCTCAACTAGCCCAATTGGTCCCGACTTTTCTTCCTTTCATTAGGTTTGTTTGGTTGATTTTTCTTCCTCATCTTTATCGTCTAGATCTCACAGGAAAAGTCACAATTAGTTCTAAAAAAAACATGGATTTTGGGCCATCAGGCAGAGAAGTGTTTAGTGAAGAAGAACAGATGGGTAAAGGTAAGCTCCCTTTTTCATACTCTTCCTCTTCTTCTCCTTCATCTTCTTCTTCTCAGCACAAAACCCAGTTGGCTCGTCTTAGCAACTCTCATTGGGAGCAGCAGCATCATCAGATTTACGACAGCCACCACCAAATGAGTCCCAACTGGTTAGGCAACAGGTACGAACCTGAAGAAGATAACGAAGAAACTGCCACGGCAACTGCAAGTGAAGCTGATTCCAAACGCGTAGACTCAGATTCAACCCTTGAGCTCAGGAGTAGTGCAAGTGCCAACATCGAGAAAGAACACATGTTCGAGAAAGTAGTCACCCCAAGCGATGTGGGGAAACTAAATCGGCTTGTTATCCCAAAACAACACGCCGAGAAGCATTTCCCCTTGAATTCTTCCACGAACAAGAAAGGTCTTCTGTTGAATTTCGAGGACAGAAATGGGAAGCCGTGGAAATTCAGGTACTCTTATTGGAATAGCAGCCAAAGCTATGTTATGACCAAAGGCTGGAGCCGTTTTGTCAAGGATAAGAAACTTGATGCTGGCGATAGAGTTTCTTTCCAGAGAGGAGTTGGTGAGTTGGGTAAAGATCGTCTTTTTATTGATTGGAGGCGGAGACCTGATGCACTAGACCCGGTTTCTTTCCATCCCCATCAACAACAGTTCTCTTTGCACCGCTCAATCCCATGGAGTCCATTGCTAATGCGGTCACCACCAACAGGAAGAGATCACTTGCACTTGTCACAGATAAGTCCTCTAAACAGAAACATCAATTACGGTGGTTATCCAACTGGAAGCAATGCGGAGAATCCAGGAGGTACAATGGGATCAGTATTTTATTTGAGATCAGCCGTTGCTGCAGCAGCCCCACAAATGGGAATGAGAATGATGCAGTGGCAGCAGCAAGGTGGAGTTGTAGAGCCAATTGTGTTTGATTCGGTACCGGTGGTCCAAGGCAAAGCTGCAGCCAAGACGTTAAGGCTTTTCGGGGTGAACATGGATTGCCCCATATCGGAGTCGGATGAGTGTGAGATGTTATCTACAACTACCATAGCAAATGCTACAATGGCATCGCAGCCTCCTCAACTTTCTTCATCGTCCCAGCATCCTTTCCAATTAAGGCTCTACAGTGGCACCCAAGTGCCCCCCACTGGCTTTCTTAATGCCAACAAAGGGAAGGCTTCCATGTCCTTGGATTTGGATATGTTGCCACACTAAATTGATTTGGCATACAGTATATTCAACGCCCAAGTTAAATTACCTTTGCCACAATCTACACCTGCCACCACCGTTACCACCAACAAACAACAACAAAATGCGTGAAGATATGGCTAGAAGAATTGCAAGGCTAGCTGCTAATCCGCTTCTTTTTTTTTTTTTGCCAATTTATCACTTCTTGATTCTTATGAGGGAGAAGACCCAGCTGTCGAAATATACAAATCCCGGTTTATGATCATATCCTTATCAAACTGAAAAAAAAGGGACGAAGAATATTGATAAGTGTTTGAGAGGAAAAAAACATAATCTCAGATTTAATTGTTGTTGTTTTACAACTTAATTAGTAGAGAAGGGAGTTCAAGGTTTGGGTGTCCATGAATGAGATGATCAGAACCGTTACCCAAGAGTCTTTTGCTTTTAACTTGTGTATAAAAATATAAGTGTTACACATTGATAGACAGTTATATGAGACATTTATAGATCCATCAAGCCCGAGATTTCATGTTTGCTTATTGTAGGGCCTGGCTTCTCCTGAATGTATCCATCCCATTGTTTCCACTGAATTAGTTCCCAAGAATCTATATTCTCTTTGGCTGGTAACTGCTTCTCTTTCTCTTTCTTTCACTCACTCTCTCTCTCTCTCTCCACTATGGTTTAGTTAATAACAACCTTTCCTGACTCCTCAGTAACTGAGCAGAGTGCTAGCTATCTGATGTAATCCAAGTTTTTACGCTCTTTTGTTTTTGCCTTGGCAGGTTGTCGCCGTTTCGATGGGCACGCCCGCAGGTTATGCAGAGAAATTTGCAGGGCTTTTAAAAGGTAGGATTTATCTCAATTTTCTTGGACCCTTGTTATTTATATTAATTTCTTTCTCACCTGTATAACTTTTAAACTATAACCCCTTACGCATTAATATGTTTCTTTTTTGTTCCTTTCAAGTTTGAATGTTCCCCTTCTCTAAATTTGCCTGTTTCCTACATCATTTCAATTCACCACACAGCTACATATTCCTATTAAATATTAACTCTCTTCGGAGAATGCAGATCCATCATGAATATATATATATATATATATATTTATTTTATTATATTTGTAGTAGTTATCACGTTTACGGTTTTTTTAAGATGATCAATCTGTTTGCACTTTGTGCCTCCAAGTTTTTTTAATTTCGCAAACCATGCATTGCGCACGCATCTTTTGCTTTAATTGCACATCTTTTGCTTTAATTGCACAATCTGCATAGTCCCAAGTAGTCCAGAGATATCAAACATTGTGGAGGTTTTTAGCATGTGCGAGTGTTTAGATAGCTGTCACTACTGTTTTTAGATTCCAAAGTTTTTAATAGAAATTTAGATTGCCTCAGATGAAGTAGAGCAGGATCACCTTTATTATCTTTCAGGTGAGCAACATGTTTTCACCTTTTCCGACAACTTATAGCTATAATAATCCCTCAAAATTTAGCAAAACAATATTTAATGGCCTGCAACTTTGACAATATTGAAGCTATTTTTTCTCCTATATCACCAAATCTTATTTCCAATCTCATTTTTAAGATTGAAAAGGATAGGTTTATGGTAATTTTGCAATACTATGTCATATACAGTGTCTTATTTACAATCTGCGTAGTAATTTGAAGAAAAATAAATATATCAGATTAGATATTCTTTCACTGCAAGTTGCATATTGCCAATAATTGATGGAAACAGTCAGTGACCTTACCAAAGTTTTCCTACTTAAGTTTGCTATAGCCTAAAATGTTAGACCCAAGGCCAAAAACAAGATCTGTGAATCAAAACCCGTGCAACATATGGGAACAAAATACTTTTTTAACTTGGTCTATACTTTCAGGGAGACTGAAGAAAGTTTATCCCTTATACATTTCAAAGTTCATAATCAGTCCTTTTCCTAAAAAAAAATAAATAAAAGAGTTGTTCATCAGTCCTTGTATGAGCTAAACTGAAAAAATAATTGCATGGTTAATCTTTAATTGTAGTTAAATCCGTGAGTAATTGGTTTTGACAAATTTTTGAAGAATTACACCTTTCTAAAACAATTTTACTTGTTCCGACTAATTATAGTTCTCTGGGATAGTATGCATATTAACCTGTGGCTAGCGCCTCTCACTTTCTCAATTCATTTATATATCTGATAGTTTATATAATTTTCCATACTTTCTCCTTTTATTTTTCGCAACATAAACCCTAGATGAAACATGAACTATGTATTATTGTTCATGTGGACACACTCACACATACACACCCAAACATGAAGATTAATAAGGTACCAATTCATAATTCTGCACTAACATCATATCTTTTGTTCATTAGTCACCTTAATTATAACTAATTTGTTCCCACACACTGAGAACAGACTTTGATCAAATTTCTTTTGCATCCTGTTTTCTTCTATCAAAGCTATATTATGATGATAAGCCTGGCACATGCATCAAGTTACCTCTTTTTGTTTTGAATTAAACATCAAGTTACACTTAAATGCTTCATGCCCTATAATTTTGGGTGTGGTTATGAATCAACTAAATAAGACTATTATTGTATATGATATGATATGTAAACATGAGAGGAACTCGTGCTCTTAAATGTTTCGAATAGTCTTTGTTAATGCTAGACAGTAATATTTTATCTAAATGTATCATCTTGATTTTAAATATCTTGAAAATTGTGTTTGATTCTGTCATTAATAAAATTTACAAAAGAGAGAGAAAAAAAGAAAGGCTCTAAAGCGAGATCAATGTTACTGAAATGGAAGAAATGAACATATCCAGATTGGAAAAGAAAAAACGTATAGTAACTGAATTATATGTCTGGGAATTCTTTTTCAATTTTTTTTGGCATTTGACTTTTAGAGCTCATCCATACATATATATATATATTATTATTTTTTGACATCTTAAAATTTTTTTTAATTATATGAGTTTATATTTAATGCATTATCACATTATAAATTCTATACACTTTGATAAATTATGTCACTTCATTAATAAAAAATTTATTTATTTATTTTAAAATTTTATAAAAATTTATAATTGATTTTTATGATATGACATTATTTGATTCATTAACAACGTATATAATTTATGCATTAATAATATATTAAATATAACCCTAATTATATATGGTATGATCATTCAAGTAATTGACATATGACACTGCAAACTTACTGTCTGTTTCATGGTGTGGGTTAATCGTAGTGGTTTTGGGCATTAATATTGTGGCTGACCCAAATCCCCAATGCGTGGTTTTGTTGTTATATCTTGACCGAAAGGAAATATAGGACAGTATCAAATACAAAACAAATCTGAAACAATATATGGACGAGAGGAAAATTAATTGTACTTGAAATGAAAAAACCGATGTTCGTTGTCTGCCTTGTAAAAACATTTTTAATTAAAGGCATAAATTTTAATTGGATATTACTGCCACCCCATTCTTTTCTTTTCTTTTTTTTTTTTTTACGGTCAGCGAATTGAAATTAAGGTAAAAAAATCTCACATGTATTTTAGACAAAAATCTCACATAAGTTAAATCAAAGATAAAATGAGCACATAAATATAATAAATTTTTATTTATTTATTATCAATTAATTTTATATTAAATGTTCATCTAAAACTTAATATGATATAAAAAAAGTGTTACCCCATTCGTTGTTCCCTCCATAATAATTTTGCTACGTTGACATGTGAAGTATATATCACCTGATAAATTTATTATCCTTACACATAAAAAAGTATTAAAATAAAAATTAAAAAAATTCAAATCCTGTAAATGAATTTTTCGATAATTAATTAATCTTCAAATTGTTAGATAATAATATGATTTCTTTTTTTGTCTATGAGATTAAGAGGAAGGGGAGTAGCTGGGATCAAACTCATGCCTTACATCAATTTTTTTTTTTTTTAGGTTTCTTAACCATTAAAATAAAAAACTGAAGGATATAATACGATCTCTTTCAAAATCCTTATATATGGTACAATGCATGTATGTATCCTGTATTTTGCATAGTCAATTGCAAGTATTTCAGATTTTAATATCTGTTTCAACAGCTATGATTTATTTGCAAAAAAAAAAAAAAAAAGAACACACACACACACACATGCTATTACTTGCTTAATTTCAGGAAAGCAGCTGTGATTTTAGCATCGGCAGGTATCCTAAAATATATGACTATGCTTTCTTTGCTATTTTTGGGTGGTGCACCTTGAATGGTAATCTTTTTCTTTATAAAATCTCCAAGTGCAAAGCTGATAGAGGTGCTTTCATTCAATTTACAGGCGCTACTAAATTTCCCTTTTGAGATAGATTTGTACTGATTACCAAAACAGAAAGAGAAATTATTTAAAGTGTCTAATCTAATTTAATTATTAGTCTATGCCATACTTTTTTCAGTCTATGCTGGAGTTTTCTTGGCTTAATTTAATACTATTGATAAAGGGTTTAATTTTTGTTAAGACAACAAGCATCTATTAAAATGGAAATATTTTATATTTATTAAATTTTGGGCCGAATGCTTAATATAGTATTAAAACATTTTATATTATGTGATTTTTGTATTATCCTTCAGTTAAATTTGTCACGTAATGAAAATTTATTAAAGTAATTTAAAATTAAAAAAAATTCAAAATTTAATAAATATGAAATAATACTACTTTCATTTTTGTTTTCTTTTCAAATTACAAACCTCTGAAGCTAAATTTAATGGAGGCTGATGATGACCCAGTTGTGTGAAGTGCTTGACTTTTGCATGTGGAGTCGTTTCCATGACATTGTTGGCGCTTCAAAAGTTCATTTTAATTTTGTATAAGAAGAATTTTGGATTCTACTGTCGGAACATGAAATTGAATGTCTTTTGTGTTTTAAGAAAAACAGTTAATTGGCTAATTAATTTGACCTTATATATCTAGACTAATTTTAAAGTTTTGATTAAGTTGATATGGCAAGCTACCTTATAAAATATAAAGATACGTATTATTAGGGAAATCTTTTTCTTTTACTTTACTTAAAAGTAGGAGTTTAATTTAAATTGTAACGTTTAACATTAAGTTGGATAACTTTTGAATGCAAAAACAAACGTTAAACA